AATTACTGCCTTGTGGGCCGCCCACAGTATCCCCTGTGAGGTGACTGAGTGGTGGTTCAGTGTGAAATAGTTGGTGATGGCCTGAGAGGTATGATCTCTGATCGCTGGGTTATGCAATAGGGTGGGGTTCAGGCGCCAGTGCCATCCGCGGGTCATGGCCAGCGGGTCGAGAGTAAGTGAGATTTCAGCGTGGTCTGACCACGTGATTGATCCTATTGTCGTGGAATTGATCATTGGTACCACAGATGGGGAGGTCAGGAATAAGTCTATGCGTGAGTGGGATTGGTGTGGGTGTGAATAGAATGTGTAATCCCGAGAGGCTGGGTGTTGCGCCATCCATGCGTCCACAAGGTGTGTGCGCGTGAGGAAGGCTTGGAGAAGTTTGTCAGAGTTTGCCGTGTAGCCCCGGGATGACGTTTGGTGTCCTGTCCTGTCGGCTGGGGTAGAAGAGGTAAGGGAAAGGTAGTGTAGTGTTAGGGTGTTGTGTGGTGTCAAGTGTTGGTGGGTTCGTTGAGTGAGTCAGTTGTACCTGGTCTTACAGGGATATAGCCAGGAAAGTCGGAGGCGGAGTTTTGCCCCGCTTTTCTGCGGGGGCAAAGGGCGGTCGAGTGTGAGGATAGGAGAAAGGGGTGTGTGGTTATGGGGTCGGGAAGTCCGGTGTGTCCCGTGCCTCCCCCCGAGCCTGTGTGTTTACGGTGTGTCTGTGGTAGGTTTATATGTTGTGTGTTGTATGGGATACATATCAGCACGTGTTATTGAGGGCTCTGTCACATGTCGCTGGTTAAGATCAAGGCGATTGTACGCCTGTCAGTCGTCCGGAACGGATTGTCCGGTTGAGGTCTCATGCTTTCATGGTTCCCCTATGCACCCTTATAAGGTATGTTGGTAGATTATTCGGTTGTCATAGTAGGGTCATCGTCCCTCCCCAGTGGTCACTGGTGATGCATGTGGGTGCCCTAGGGTTGCCGTTGGATGGGAGGGGGAGGTCTGGGCTTCGTGAGGTGGGGTGCCACTGTCTGCCCCGGTTGCGCTATGTTGCAGTAGGGGCAGGACGTGTGATGTTTGGCCATTGGTGTACCGACTCGGCGAGGCGTGTAGCAGCCCAGTGTCTGGTGGGTGTGGCGTGAGCCCTGTGAGAAGCATCATTGGTGGCGTGTCGTTCACATTCCTGCTGTGCCCTGCCGGCCCGTGTGTTTTCACCGTTTGGGGTCCCCCCAACTCCCCCAGTCTTGGAGTATGATAGCACCTGGGGTGCCGCTAATGTTGGGCGTGGTGTGGGGGAGATGTGTGGGTCCTGTAGGGTGGTGCATATCTGAAGCAGCAGTATTGTATTGGCAACCACATTACATTAGACAATCTTCATTGAGCAACAGTTTGGCATCGACATTCACATTACAGTATATATACCTTTGAGTAACATGGGAGAGAAATGCTTCGGTTGTGTCTAAGTCCCTCAGTCTAGATGTCGTTGTCAACGTCTGAGGGAGGTGGATGCGTTATGTCGGGTGGGGGATAGTTGCTTACTGAATCCGTCCAGGTGAGGGTGTCAGGTCCTCGGGGCTCTTTCAGGGTCCTGTACCCGAGTGTCCGATCTGGTTGCTAAGTTGCCGTGGGGGCGGTTGCGGTTTCCCTCGAGGGGGATCCCTCTTTGCCCGGGGACTTTGCTTTGGGTGACGTCAGTCAGGGATTGGCCGTCCAGGGTGGGGCATCTTACCGGGGTGGGGCTAGGTCGTCCCTGTCCGATACACCGTCACAGTCAGTCGGTGGGTATTATGTTTAGTCCCAGTTACGCCTTTTGTCCTGTTCAGAACACCCTGGAGATGCATGTGCCTGTGCGCTTACAGTAACACCCCCTGTGCATAACATACATTGTATAACCATAATGGGGGGTTCCAGTAGGGAGACCGGGTGGGTGTATGGCGGGGCTTGCATGTGGCACCTTGGTTGATTATGTGTCATCCCCTGCGGGTTACCAGTGGTGCGGTGCCTATTTCGTGCCTGGAGGGGTCTAACCCAGGGTGGAGTAGCGCAGGGCGTTATTGGTTGGGGGGGACGGACGGCCGGCGCGGCCTAGCTACATCCCCCTGCCTTAAGCCGTGTATCAACCGCCTTGTCTGTTTCGGGGCCGGACCTATCTCGGTTATCCCGTATTCAGTCAGGGGGTGCCTATGCTCCAATCTTCTTTTGGAGATGTAGGTGCAGATGCATAGGCCCTCGTTCAGATGTCCGCGCGTCGACCCTGCCGGGTCCCAGAGATGGTTGCGAGGGCCCCGCCCGTGCCTGGGCGAGCGAGGCCCCCCCAATGTATGGAAGTCGTCCCCAGGTGGCCCCTGGTATGGGGATTGGTGCGACTACGCCCCACAGGGGCAAATCCGGCCTGGCCCCCCATCTTGTCTAGATGGCAGAATGTGACCCCTTGATTGGTCTGTGGTGGCACCTGTGGGGCAAGTGGGGGGGGGAGATAGTAGCCCTAAGGGGGAAGGGGGGTACAATAGGGGTGAAACCTGATCAGCCGTCTGACATATGGATGAGTCCAGCTTGTGTGTCTTGCGCCTCCGTCATCTTCTGTGTGTGGCCCTTCATGCTGATTTCTTTGGGGTCTGCTGTGGTTTGTTCCTCTGAGATAGGCGTAGGGATGTCGCGTTGTCCTTTGGTGATGGGCGGCTGGAACGTTGTGGGTCTTTGTTGGTGGGTGTGGATGATTGGAGGAGCGGGACTCCGATATGTTTGGCGAAGTCCGACATGTCAGCAGGATAGTTTAGGGTATATGAGTGATTGTCCTTCCGGACCATTAACTTGAACGGGTGGCCCCATGTATATTTCCAGCCGTGCTGTAGCAGCGAGGCGGTGAGGGGTTTTAGTTCCCTCCGTTTTCGCAGGGTCGCGGGCGCCAGGTCTTGAAAAAATTGCAATTGATGCTCCTGATGTTTCGATGGGTTGGTGCGGGCCGCCGCCATCAGCTTTTCCTTGGTGGTGAATAGGAGCAGTTTCACTATCACATCCCTCGGTAGTGCTAGGTTAGGCGTGGGGGGCCGCAGTGCTCTATGTGCTCGTTCTATGGCAAGGTCTTGGGCAGCTGCTTCTGGCAGGAGATTGCGGAAGATCTCTTGGACGGTAGTGAGGACGACCTCCGGTGGTACCGATTCAGGCAGACCTCGGATCCTGATGTTTTTCCGGCGAGATCTGTAGTTGAGATCTTCTAGGCCATCTTCCAGTTGCACTATCCTGTCCTGCATGGTGAGGAGTTCTTGCTGTTGGGATTGTGTTGTTTGGGACAGGCCCATGATGTCTTGCTCGGCCTGCGTTGTGCGCGTTGTGAGCGCGTCGATGTCGCCCTTGAGGCCCGCCATTTGTTTTTCCAATTCCGCCGCGGTGTAGGCTTTAATGTCCGCAGACGTTTCCCAGAGTAGTTTCCTCAGGTTGCCCATCGTGAGGGGTGCGGAGGATTCCTCTGGCATCTCACTGTCATCTGAGTCGGAGCCAGAATGTTGAGTGTTCTGGGCCGAAGATGGCCGCCCCTGCTCCGAGGCGCGAAACAGAGTGGCCACCGACGGAGTGTGTTCCCTCCTTTTTTTGTTTCCTCCCATGGTGGATTAAGGTGTAGGGCTGTGGTAGATGTGGATATTTTTTGTCATCAGGGGTGGATGGCGTTGAAAGTTCGCTGATATAAGCCGATGGTAAGCTCAGGGGTGAGGGAGCTCAGGGATTACACGTCCATCTTGGTCGGTGGTTAGGCTCCGCCCCGCCTGATATTATTTTTAAACCTTTGTCCCTCTAATTTAAGACTATGTCCTCTTGTTGTGATAGTTTTTCTTCTTTTAAATATAGTCTCCTCCTTTACTGTGTTGATTCCCTTTATATATTTAAATGTTTCTATCATATCCCCCCTGTCTCGTCTTTCTTCCAAGCTATACATGTTAAGATCCTTTAACCTTTCCTGGTAAGTTTTATCCCGCAATCCATGAACCAGTTTAGTAGCCCTTCTCTGAACCCTCTCTAAGGTATCATTATCCTTCTGAAGATACGGTCTCCAGTACTGTGTACAATACTCCAAGTGAGGTCTCACCAGTGTTCTGTACAATGGCATGAGCACTTCCCTCTTTCTACTGCTAATACCTCTCCCTATACAACCAAGCATTCTGCTAGCATTTCCTGCTGCTCTATTACATTGTCTGCCTACCTTTAAGTCATCAGAAATAATCACCCCTAAATCCCTTTCCTCATATGTTGAGGTTAGGACTCTATCAAATATTCTGTACTCTGCCCTTGGGTTTTTACGTCCAAGATGCATTATCTTGCACTTATCCACGTTAAATGTCAGTTGCCACAATTCTGACCATTTTTCTAGTTTACCTAAATCATTTGCCATTTGGCTTATCCCTCCTGGAACATCAACCCTGTTACATATCTTAGTATCATCAGCAAAAAGACATACCTTACCATCAAGACCTTCTGCAATATCACTAATAAAAATATTAAAGAGAATGGGTCCAAGTACAGATCCCTGAGGTACCCCACTGGTGACAAGTCCAAACTTCGAATATATTCCATTAACTGCAACCCTCTGTTGCCTGTCACTCAGCCACTGCGTTACCCATTCAACAATATTGGAATCCAAACTTAAAGATTGCAGTTTATTGATAAGCCTTCTATGTGCAACAGTGTCAAAAGCCTTACTGAAATCTAGTTAAGCAATGTCTACTGCACCACCCTCATTGAGGCCAAAACATTGTATATGATTTTGTTCTCCTGATCCTCAATAAACCGCTACAAATTACACCACACTGTGAAAACTTAGCATTTTTACAGTTAGTATTTATCATGCTGGATCTTAGAGACTAATGTTCCCATGTTGCACAGCCACCCAGAACAAATCACTTTCAAAGATCTGTAGAATGTTTACTTTTTTTTCTTGCTCCCATCTTGGTCTATTTGTTCTTACTAGTAGATTTCCTAAACTTTCATTAGGACATGTATCATGGACAAGCATGACAGAAGGGATGGCAGACGTTTCTAGCCTAAGAAGACTTGCTGATGCTCTGAAGTTGCTGTATGGAGCCGAAGCCAAAGAATGGACTGCAGATAATGTTATCAGTTTGGTGGATGAACTGTCAGGTAGACATCTTTTTGAGCACAATAAAGACAAGACTAACAGGTAGGGCTGGTGGGAGTAACATGGCAGAGAGACTAATGACCCACTCTGTAACTAGTATACAGGGGATTTTGAGCCCCCCCAGTACAATTTTTCTGCTGATTATATACAAAGGGAGTTATGTGGGTGGATGGCTATTATCAGCCTGTCAGAAAAAAAGTAACATTGTTGCGTTGAGCAGGGCCAGTTGCCTGCATGGTTATAAAAATTAAAGACGTTAAAAATAAGTAATATTCAAATTTAAAAAGTGAAAATATTTCTAATGTGAAATACCCAACTGTATTTTGCACTCTGCAAGCCTTGGTGCTCAGAGTCTGTATGTAAGAGTTAAAGGCCGTTGCTGCTGGTGGAAGTGTAACTCCAGCTCTGACAGCATCATTAACAAGCCCGGTACATGCACATTCAGCCGATGACATCAGAAGAGGGAGGAGAGTCCCCGGCGCTGGAGAAAGGTGAGTGTTTAACCCCCTTCAGCGCCACGGGAGTGGGACCCTGAGGGTGTTGGCACCCTCAGGGCACTATAGTGCCAGGAAAACGAGATGGTTTTCCTGGCACTATAGTGGTCCTTTAAGAAGAAATGAAAAGTAACAAACAATGTGTATTTATTATGCGTATTTATTAAAATAAATATATAGATTGTGTTACTCTCACTGTTTGATGTGGATGATGACAATACAATGTTTAATGCCAAGATAATTTGAAGTGGGGAGGCAGTGTGTTATATGTGGGTGATGCTTGTATGTGGGAAGAGCACGAATGGGTCATTGATATTTAATTACCCAGAGGAAATACATACCATTATATATAAATTCTCTGACAACCCCCTCTATTATGTCCAGCATCATTTCTCCTACAGCATACCAGCACTCTAACTTTCAGGTATAAAAAAAAATCACTTACAATCGCATTGTAATTGTAGCCAATTTATAGCTTGATACTGGAGACAGGATGTCTCCCAACCTCTCCACCTCAGGTATACCAAAATGGAGAGATCAAAATGGTGGAGCAATCTATAATATATTCCCAAATCAGAATTCTGACATACAAAAGTATGTGGGCACAATGGTGGGTTTTTGCCTATTCAGTAGAATTCCTGCATTTGCTTGTGTAACCTTAGTAAAGAGGTGTTGGTGTCCTTGTTAGATCACCACCTCTGTGGTGTCCTTGATAGGTCAGCACCTCCCTTTTTAGTCCATGGCCACAAGGCTTGTAATGTTTTTTATAAGTATTCCTCTGTACATTTCTTTTGGTGCTCCCTTATGCTACCCTTAAAAGAAAGTCCACTCAAGTACCTCCTTTTTTTCCAACTTACGTCTGGATACATTGCAGATTTCTGAGATCACTAATTTAAAGAGACATTCCACTTCCCAAATACAGAATAAACAAAAATCACAGTTTAGTAGATATACCCCCAATGAAAACATGCACACATTTAATTATGCATTTTTTTCATTGGGGTTATATCTAAAAACTGCAAAGCTTGCAAAACAACATTTCTCTTGTCTGCTGCCTTTGCAAGCCCTTCCCTTCTAACCCCGCCCAGACTTTCTGTGGCCGTCCAGTCACAGCTTCCCAATGCAGCTCAATGAAAAGTCTTTGCAATGCAGGTGCTCTAGTCAGTTATTTAATACTGTATTTTATTGAAAATCAATAAAATAGTTATACACAAAAAATCCCTTTTCATCTGCACTAGACATTTTTTTTTTTTTACAAATTCCCGTTATGACAACCTCCTCCATTCTGATATAAAAGTTGCTACCACTAGGACAATTTACAAATGACAAAAGTAATTATTATGAACAAAACTAGTCACTGTGTACAATTAATAGATATCACAAATACAAAACAAATCACACCAAGGAAACAGGTGAAATAAAAGGAGAAATTATTACCAGAAATTCTTGATACTTTTCCCAGAGAATTATTGATGTTTTCTGGCTCTGAAGCTTTTTGTGAAGGAAAAGATAATACAGTTCAAGTGGTTGTTATTGTTGTCTCAAATTGAATTACAAAGTTCCTAGGTATCATTAGATATTTTATTCAGTATTTTTCCTCTCGGGTTGCTATGGCTGCATTCCTAAGGAGGGGTAGTGTGTTGTAGATATCTCACTTTAATGAGATGTATTTAATGGATCCCAAGTGTGGCCAAAAATATACAATACAATGTATTTTTGTACACATGCTTCTGGTTTTAATGTAGCTGGGTCTACTTATCTCTGGGAATCTAGACATTAAATTTAATGCCAAACATGACATGAGTTTCATAAATAATTTTCTAGAAATAGCACATAGTATGTGAATAACTCTAAGAATTAGCCTCTTAATCATGATCACGATAAGCCTATAGATCATGACAGGGGATGGTACAGACTAATCTATAGTGAAGGGTGCTAGGGAGACTGATTTACAGAGGAGAGGACTGGGGAGAGGAATCTATAATGAAGAAAACTGGGGAGAGAGTTTTATAATGGAGACTCTACAGTGGGGGTCGATATGGAAGAGTTGGGTCTTTGGCTTTAAAAAAAAAAAAAGTCTGTAAGGACGGTGCCTCTCTGATTGTGCACTGTAAATGGTTCCATAAGGAATGGTCAGCATGGCTGAATGCACTGGAACCTGAGTCTTTATTCTTGGCACTGACAGGAAGGATTTGCTGGCTTACCAAAGTGAACCCGATGGAATGTAAGGTGTCAGGATCTCTTTCAGGTACTGTGGGCCTTGATTGTTTAAAGCTTTGAAGGTTAGCAGGCCAATTTTAAAATATGCTAGCCATTTTATTGAAAGCCAATGCAGGGAGTGGAGAACAGGTGTTATGTGGCAGTAGCGTGTTTGATTGCTCAGTAGTCTGGCTGCTGCATTTTGTATAGTCTGAAGGCGATAGAGATCTTTTTCTGTGAGGCCCAAGTAAAGTACATTGCAGTAATCTAGCCGAGAGGATACGAATGCATGGATTAATGTTGGCATATCATCTGGTGGAATTACGTGTTGTATCCTGGTTATGTTTTTCAAAAGAAAGTAGGCTGATTTCTATTACGGAGGAAATCTGCTGTTTAAATGATAGTCCAGAGTCAATCAGCACTCCGAGGTTTTGTACCTTAGATAAACTGATGAGTTCAGAGCCTCCAAGTTCCAGGCCAGTTGGGTGATCATGGAATATTTTTGTTCGGGGTCCCCGCACCAAGAGTAACTCTGTTTTGTCCGGGTTAACTTTAAGCCAACTAGCATTCATCCATTCTATGAGGTCTGCTAAGCTACTGTTGATGCGGCATGTTGGGTATGTTGTATCTGTAGCAAAGGAGAATTAGAGTTGTGTGTCATCAACGTAACAATGATACTTTAGGCCATGTCTCCTAATGATGTCCCCCAGTGGTAGCAAGTAAATTGCGAATAGCATGGGAGACAAGATGGATTATTGTGGAACTCTGCAGACCAGTTCTGTTGGTGCTGATGAGCTTGATCCTGATGATACTCTGTGTGATCTACCAGTGAGGAGAGATTTAAATAATAATATATGACACCGCTCTCAAATTTTAGATGCCAAAGAAACTAAATGTTTATTACGTAATTATAACAGGTTGTATAGAAATAACCCTTTCACTCAATATAAACACTATCACATAAATAATATACAAGGCAAGTTTGCATATCAAAAGTTAGCCAAGTCACAAAAAACTTGGTATCTGAACTTTTTAAACACAAAGAACAGTGATTAAAGTATGCTTCCATAATCACTTGGTGTACACCTCTTAATTTATATTAGAATTGTCTGGGATATCTATTAACAAATATCAAAAGACCTATGAAAAAATGGCCAAAAAATTAAAAAGCAGTAAAAAATAAACAATTGTGAAAAAGAAAAAATATATCATATGAAGTCAAACAGTGTCCCAAAGTTCATACTAGTTGGTCCTAGTGTGTACACACTTCTAATACAACAAAAGGTAAAAAATAAAAAAACGAGAAAAAAAAACCCAGAGCTCTTTATCCATATGCTTTGATAAAGGGGTAATCCCCAAAAGGACAGCTCTCACCTGGTTGAAGATCGTTTGTTGTATGTAAACTGATAAAGCTATGATGTTGGCAATGCTTGTGTAGAGCTGTAGTATCCGAAATGTCTGTGATATGAAGCTGTTGGTGAGGGATGCCTGGGCTGCGTGCTTGGGACCTTGTCTGTCCCTTCGAAGGCCCTGGTTCAATTAAAAACATTAACGGCTTTTATTGCTTGTATTTGTGGTGCGCCCACCATTTTCGCGTGTCGCGCCTATGTGACGTCATTCTCAGTGTATGCATGTGCGCTTCCAATATCCATATTTTCAGACCAGAGTGCATCACCATAATTGTCCGTACGTGCAGGCGCACTCAGAATGATGTGTATCAATACACTGTCCCTGTTGTATAGAAGCTTCAAGCAACTTTATTTATAATTAAACTATATACATATATATATATTATCATGACAATCAATTCCAATGTGTAAATTGTTTTATATTCAATCATCTGGGAGAATGAGGTTATTAGTTTGGTACAATTATAAATGTTCTCAATGCAAAAGGTTATTTTGGAAACTCTATCTTAATAAGATGTTCCTATGAGTATTTTTTGGGACTACTTAGTTACAATTATTATCTTGGTAGTAGCAGCTAGTGGCACTAGTAAGAGTTCTATTATTAGAATCAGCCAGATTGTCTAGCTAGTGACCTTAGTGTTAGGCTGCCTCGAAGCAGCAGTGTTTCTACAATTATTCTTTTCAAAGTGATTTTTTGTGTTTTCAATCTTTCAATCTTTCTGGGGGGGTACCTCTGTATATATATACATAGGGATTGATTTATTAATCCACCTTACTACTATTATGAGATATCTGTTCTCTAACCCCCAGGATTATTTTGTTCAACCATTTTTCTAAACCTATTTATATATCTGCGCTCTATTTGGTCTATTGAGACGTTATAATTATCTATACTACTCCATCTAAACTTTAAACACTAAGTAGCATACTCTACATATACTGCCTCTCAGCTGTTCTTTAGACTCTATTTCATTTTGTAACACTTTAGATCAAATTTATGTTAGATTGACGATACACTATGTATCTAAGTCTAATTTATATACTTTTGAAAATATATTAGAGTCTATGGTACTTTATGTGGAATTACCTCTATAGAATTTAATAGGGATATCTTTAGATCCCTGTAGATTTTTCCTCTAGAGAACTGGCTCTGTGGTGTTTGACTGGACATATATTATACTATACATTGTACTTCTTACTACAAACACTCAGTGTAGATACCCTTAGCCACTCTATTATCTTTTGAGGATATCCATATGGCATCTACCCAGTTTTTATTTCACTTGTTTTTTTTTTTTTTCACGAGTGTTTCACTATTATCACATTTAACTCTTTGTGTGTTGCCCTAAGACGGCGTAATAAAGGTTATACCTAATAATTATTGTAATATATTTGAGATATCATTTGGTGAAATGGGTGTCCAGTTTTTCCATCTTTAGTGGAACAACCATCTCACTCTAGTTCATGTTCCTATGAGTATTAAGGGGAAAGGCAAAATAAATATATGTCAATGTAAGTAAATAATCTATATATAGGAGATCTTGATTAAAGATACACCCTACTGAAATGCTACTTGTGCATTAAGGAAAACTCTACCAAAAAGGAACTACAAATATTTTTGGATGAGATGTATATAACACATCAGAGTAAGTACATATATTTATATATATGCGCTTTATAATCATTTATAATAGCGTTAATTGTAATTTCATATTTATAACAAATGTAACTTAGACCCCAAATACCAAGTGTAGCGGAGAGCTGATTTCCCACAGCCTATTTCTGCTGGTAATCCCAGAATGGCTCAGGAACAAGTAGTAAATCCAATAGAGTAGCAGGCACAAACAGTAAGAGGGCCCTGCTGATGAGCTTAGATGCTAGAGGGAGTGGGTTTTAGTGACACAAAAGGTAAGGGTAGGGTAGAAAAGTAGGTTGCTAGGCTAGTGTTCATTTAGGGCTTAGTTTTTAGTTTTGATGACAGTTGCAGTAGAGGATTTAGGGTGCAGGGAGAGAAAGCCGTTCACAGTTTAATTGATATGCTTTCCTAAAGAAGTAAGTTTTCAAAGATTTTTTTGAAGGATTGGAGACTGGGTGAAAATCTAACAGAGAGGAGAATGGTGTTCCATAGGAATGGTGCAGCCCTAAAGAAGTCTTTAAGGCAAACATCAGAGTCATGTATATGGTCATCAATTATGACACCATTATTGACAAGTACCCTTGAAATAAAATTAACTTATGTTGAAACATTTGTTGTTTGGAATTATCACGTGTTTGAGGTACTTATATGTTTCTTTTCCTAAATCAGTGATTCCCCAAGAATGGCTTTTGGAGAACAATGCACGCCTTCTTATTCTCAGTGGGAATGGTATTTGTTTTGCATTCATGGCCTGCAAAGCAGTGAATGGAAACACAGTTGACTTGGCCAGAACGGTGGTTTTCCTTGCTTTGGTAAGTATTCACAAGGACAACATGTACCTGTGATTTAGGAGTTTAACGTTAGTGAATTGTGACTGGTTGCCAACTGGCCTGCATAGGTCTTCTTAGCAGGAAAAAACACCATAGCATTCGTTGCAGAAAAAAACCCAAAATGCATTTTGTAGAAAATAATTTTTTTTTTTTTTTTCTTGCGTAAAGACTTACAGAGGTATGCCACCAATACAATCCAATAAAAGTGCAGCTTTTATCACCACTCATACTGGATAGAGAAATTCTGGTCACACGTATCAACTTAACAATTCACAAATGAGAGGCCTCCAGAAACTTTATCCAAAAGAATTGCAAAAAGAACACAAAACTTTGCAAAACTATGTTTCATTTGTTGATAACAGTTTTTCAAAAAGATTGCCATTTGTTACACCTTGTTGGTAATGTCTACTGACAGGGACAGACTGACAGCAGTCAACCCCTAGGCAAAATTAGGCCCTTGGCCTCCTCAATGTCCACTATACCTGCTTTTAAGGGGCACTATGAACTGGAGTTCTATTATATACTTGTATATCTATGTGTAAACATGTTTGTATGTAGATGTATACTTGGCTGTTTGTGTATGTGTGTTTGTCAATGTGAGCACAGCTGTATTTTTCTGTCATTGAAGAGCACAGTTGTATGTCTGTCTGCTATGCTAAGTTCAAGTATGAAATGCAAAAGAATAATAAGCGCTCTCTTCTCAGGGGTGAGCAGCAGTTCACCAACAAGGTGTTCCTCTACCTTGTGATAAATAGACAGATAAAATAGAAAGGTGAACAGCGCTAAAAATCAGAAAATGTACATACGTTTTGTAGAAATACTGGCCAGCAGAGTAAACTTTGAGGAGCTATATCAGCTCGGTGTTAAGAGCCTGGACGGAATCATCCCCGTCTATGGATTTCTTGAGGTTCAAGACCGTTGGTGAATTTATAGGTGTAAATATTCGTTACATGAAAAACAAAAGTGAAACTTTTGAGAAAGCTTCGGTGAAACGCGTCAAGTGAGGAAGAATTTTGGACTTTTATACAGGACTGGTTTTATAGTTTATTATTCACTTTTTACCTATTGTATTAAAGTATATATATTTTTTAAACTATCCAGTCATTCCTTTTGTCCTCCTTCCTATCCAATACTGCTTTGCTGCTATACCTGGGTCCACTATATCCCAAGGTGGGGATTATTCCACCTGAAATTCTTCAAACTAGAGCAGGTCATTGCTCTAGTATATGTAAGTAGGATCATCCACTTTTTTTTCACAATATTTTATATTTACGTACTATACCATGTGGTGTATTTTACTCTTGTTTTTCATGTAACGAATATTTACACCTATAAATTCACCAACGGTCTTGAACCTCAAGAAATCCATAGACGGGATTATTCCGTCCAGGCTCTTAACACCGAGCTGATATAGCTCCTCAAAGTGTGAGTGTGAATATAACACCTTTGTTCTTGTGGAATTATATCGTTCATACATACTGTACCATTATTTGTATTTTTGTTTCTCTTTTTTTTAAGTTACTCTGCTGGCCAGTATTTCTACAAAACGTATGTACATTTTCTGATTTTTAGCGCTGTTCACCTTTCTATTTTATAAGTTCAAGTATGAGTGTATATGTTGTATTTGTATGTCAGTGGTAGAGCATGGCTGGATGTGTTTGTATACAATTTGTTTTGAGTATCCTTGTGTATGTATGTATGTATATATATACATACTGATGAAACACAACATTAAAACCACTGATGTGAAGTGAATAACATTGATTATATTATTATAATGGCACCTCTCAAGGGGCGGGACATATTAGGCAGCAAGTGAACAGTCATTCTTGTCAAGAGCTGGAAGCAGATGAAATGGGCTAGCGAAAAGATCTAAGTGACTTTGACAAGGGCCGAATAGGGATGGCTAGACAACTGGGTCAGAGCATCTCCAAAATGGCAAGTCTTGTGGGGTGTTCCTGGTATGCAGTGGTTAGTACCCACCAAAAGTGTTATTATTATTATTATTATTATTATTAATATTTAAAAGCGCCAACAAATTCTGCAGTGCTGTACAATGGGTGAACTAACAGACACCCAGACGAGTTGGACCCACAGGAACAGAAGTATTGCTCATTCAGTTACATGCTAGATGCAGTGGGGTATAAGGGTAGGGTTGAAAAGTAGGTTGCTAGGATAATATTCACTAAGTGCTTAGTGTTGTTTTAATGGCAGTTTCAGGAGAAGAATCAGGGTGCGGGGAGGGACTGTTGACAGTTTAATTGATATGCTTTCATGAAGAAGTAAGTTTTCAAAGATTTTTTGAAGGAGTGGAGACTGGGTGAAAGTCTAATAGAGAGGGGAAGGGTGTTCCATAGGAATGGCCAGACTGTAGGAGCGCAGCATAAGCCCTAGAGAAGTCTTTAACATGAGCATCAGAGGCGGGAGTACGAACGGAAGTTAGACGTAGGTCTTCAGCACAGCATAGGAGCCTAGATGGGACATATTTGTGTATTAGTGAGGATAGGTAGGTTGGAGCAGCATCGTGTAGAGATTTGTAAGTAAGCATCAGGATCTTAAATGTAGCCCTATGTCTCACGGAAATCAATGTAGGGACTGACAGAGGTGGGAGGCGCGGGAAGTGCGAGTGGACAAAAAAATGAGCCTGAGAAGCAGATTACAGTAGTCAATGCGAGAGAGGACAGCAGCATGGACAGGAACCTTAGCCGTATCAGGCGTTAAATAGGGGAGGATGTGTGCTATGTTTTTGAGATGAAAGCGCCAGGATTTGGCAATTGGTTGGACATGAGTGGTGAAGGAGAGTTCGAAGTCAAAGAGAACACCTAGGCAGCGAGTGTGAGGTAGAGCTAATGAGAGCACCATTGACCTGGAGGAAAACAGACAAGGGAGTAGCAACGCTTGAGGGAGGGAAGACCAGAACTTCTGTTTTGGACAGGTTAAGTTTTCGAAATGAGCAGCCATCCAGTTGGAAATAGCAGACAGGCAGTTAGAGACACAAGTCAAGAGGGGTGGTGAGAAATTATGGGAGGACAGGTAAATTTGCCTGTTTTCCGCATAGAAATGATACTGGAAGGAGCTGATGAATTTAACAAGGGAGGCAGTATAGATTCAGAACAATAGGGGACCACCAACAGAGAGGGATTGGGAAGGAGAGGCAGAGCCAGAGAAAGAAACACTAAATGAGCGCTGGGAGAGGTTGGAAGAGCACTAGGAGAGAGTGGTATCTCGTAGACCGAAATTACAGAGGATGCTGTTTATGATCAACAGTGTCAAAAGCAGCAGAAAGGTCAAGGAGAATTTGGATAGAGTAGTGGCCACGGGATATTACAGTGATAAGATCATTAGATACTTTGGTCACAGCTGTTTCAACAGAGTGACAAGCCTAGAAACAAGAATGAAGCGGGTCAAGAAAAGAGTTGGATTCGAAGTCTGTCAATCTCGAATACACAACTCTCTGAAGATTCTTGGAGTCAAATCTTAGTAGCGAGATAAGGCGGTACTTGGACGGGGATTTAGGTTCAGGTTGGGCTTTTTCAGAATCGGGGTTACAGTTGCATATTTGAAAGGTAGAGGAAATATGCCAGAGTAGAAGGAGAAATGTAAAATTTAACTGAGAGGCAGAGCAAGAGAAGTAGACAAAGTGCGGATGATATACGAAGGAATAGGATTCAGGGAACAGGTGGTATGGCGAGAGGACCATAGCAGATCAGAAACCTTTTCTGCTGTAGTGGGTGCAAATGAGCATAGCACAGCAGAGGGATTGTGGTTGGGGTGGAAATTGGTAGGGGATGGAGAGAGATGAGAGATTTCTTTCCTGATTGTAAAAATCTTCTCAGTGAAATGAGTTGCAAAGTTTTATGGCAGTCAAGTTGGTCGGAGGAGGAGGCACAACAGAGTGAAGAAGTGAGTTAAAAACATGAAAAAGTCATTTGGGTTCGCAGGAGAATGTGGTTATCAGCATATTGAAGTAGGTTTTTTTGCAGAGGAAAGAGCCAGACTGTAGGAGCGCAGCATAAATTTATCGTGGAGAAAGTCAGACACAAAGTAAGACTTTCTCCAGCAGCGTTCGGGTCAGCTTGGTGTGCCAGAGTTGTAATTGGGGGCGCTTGCTGCTTTTAAATGTAGGGGATATTACGTCTAGTTGAGAGGAGAGAGTGGAGTTGTAGAGGGAGGTTGCATTGTTTATGCAGGTGGGGTTTGAGATGGGTGAAAGAAAGGACAACTGGTGAACTGGGATCAGGGTCATATGTGCCTGAGGTTCATTGATTCACATTGGGAAGGTAGGCTAGTCCGTCTGGTCTGATCACCTAGAAAAGTTATTGTATCTTAAATTGCTAAACAAAACTTAATGCTGGCCATGTCATAACACATGGTGCATCACAGTTTGTTGCGTAAGGGGCTGCATAGCCGCAGACACGTCAGCGTGCCCATAATGAACCCTGTCCACTGCTGAAAGTGCCCTCAATGGGGATGTCAGTGTCAGAATTGGACCTTGGAGCATTGGAAGAAGGTTGTCTGGCCTGATGAATTATGTTTTCTTTCAGATCAGGTGGATGGATGGCTGTGTGTGAGTTGTTTACCTGGGGCAGAGAAGTTAGCAGGATGCATTATGGGAGGAACGCAATCTAGTGGAGTCAGTGTTATGCTCTGAGCAATGTTCTTCTGGGAAACTCTGAAACCAAATTCATGTGGACGTTGCTTTGACACGTACCATCTACCTAGAGACTGATGCAGACAATGTACACCCCCTTCATGGCAGTGGCTTTTTTCAGCAGGAAAATGTCAAAGTGACACAATTATTCAGGAATGGTTTGAAGGACATGACGAAAAGTTCAAGCTGTTGCCTTGGCCTCCAAATTTTCTAAATTTCTGTGGGATGTCCTGGAACATCAAATCCATTATGTATCGGCCCCGCCTCGTAACTTGCAGGACTTAAAGTATCTTCTGCTAATGTCTTGGTGCCAGATATCACAGGACATGTTTAGAGGTCTTGTGAAGCCCATTCCTAAAAACATGAGAGCTGTTGTGTCAGCATGAGAGGGACCTACAAAATATTAGGCAGGTGGTTTTAATGTTGTGGCTGATCATACAGCGGCAAGAAAAAGTATGTGAACTCTTTAGAAATGACTGCATTTATGTATAGGTTTGTCTTAAAATCTGGTTTGATGTTCATGTAAGGTACAGTAAACAAACACAATTTGTTTAAACTAATAACACACAAATTATTGTATTGTGCTTGTACATATTGACTATATCATTTAAATATTCACAGTATAGGTTGGAAAAAGTATGTGAAGCCCTGGGCTAATGAGGTCAACAAAAGCCAGTTAGAGTTTGAAATTGACAAACCTGGTGCCCAATTATTGAAACAAGATTTGAGGTGTGGGTTAGAGCTATTTTGACTAATAAAACACACTAAAACAGTTTCAGTTGGCTATTCACAAAAATAATCTGTTGATGTGAAACCATGCCTTGCAAAAAGAGCTCTCAGAGACCCTGTTATCAAGAATAATTGCACTGCATATAGCTGGAAGGACTTACAATGTTATCTTAAAGAGCCTTTATATTAATCTGTCCACTGCTAGACAAATTGTTTATAAATGGATAGGATTAAGTACTGTGGCTGTTCTCCATAGCAGTAGCTGTTAAGAGCATACTGCCCTATAGTGACAGCTTAAGACTTAATAGGAACTGGTGGGATCTTTGATCTGGACAACATTGAACAGGCATGGTGTCCATGGTAGTGAACATGGAAGAGCAGTCTCAAATATAGAAACATAGAATGTGACGGCAGATAAGAACCATTCGGCCCATCTAGTCTGCCCAATATACAAATTGTGCCGTTATAGAAAATTTGGCATGTAACTTCAATATAGTAAAATACAAAGGTTAATAATGTCACAATTTACTTTAATTGTAATTTAATTGAGGGAGGAGGATTGATATTGGGAAATTCATTAAAGTGAACAATCGCATAGTGTTCTTCAACCATTAACCATAAAACAAAATAAATAAAAAAACACCATTCCATTCATCACATCTACAGTAATAAATAATTCCTATATCCAATATGTCTGTGCTAGGTATGTGAAAAGGACTTATACTGCATGGACTGGGCAGTGAAAATGATGCAGAAGATATGTAAAGTGTTTGGTACACGTGCCGAGAGGACCAACTTCTTGCAAAATGTGGAGAATGCATTTGCCCGCATTATCATAAATATGCTGCATTCGGTGATATCTGGTAAAATATACAGTAATCTTTTCATATGACTCTTGCACTTACACTGTGACTGCCCTATGAGCCAAAATTACAACACAGTGTGCAAATTATTGTCTGTAGTGTAACTAGTGTAACTGGAATGCATACAAATGTAAAGCCCACAATAGTCCTGGGTTAGCCAGGACAGTCCCAAATTTCGGGTCCTGTTAAGTCCTGGGTTTAATCTCTGGTGTCTACACACATGCTGATTAGAATACTCTCAGGGTTTGGAGACTATGTGTTATGTTTTGAAAAAGTATATATCTTTTATTCGCAAAAATGTCTGTTTCTGACAGGATTTCTTTGCTAGCAAAAGTTACTTTAAACAGGCAGTGCTTCCACAATATTAATATTTATTGTAATTAGAACAATGTTCAAACAGTGAGTTATGATCTTCACAACTAAAATAATTGGTCTACACTCAATACTTCATAATGACAAAGCAAATAAAAACAAACAGATTTTTGACACTATTGCAAATATATTAAACAAAACGTAAACATCAACATCACATTGACATTCGTATTCAGACTGCCAAAGGTGATTTGTTGAGGCACCTTTGGCACCGATTACAGCCTCAAGTCTTTTTGGGTATGACACAACAGGCTTTGCAAACCAATATTTGGGTACTTTCTGACATTCATATGAGCAGATCCTCTCAAGTTGGTTGGTGACTGTCGGTGAGCAGCCATTTTTCAGGTCTCTCCAGAGATGTTTGATTGGGTACACAAGATCTTTGCATTTATTTAAAGGGACACTATAGTCATCCAGACCACTTCAGCTCAATGAAATGGTCTGGGTGCCAGGACCCTCAGGTTTTAACCCTTTAGATGCAAACATAGCAGTTTCAGAGAAACTGCTATGTTTACATTTAGGGTTAAGCCAGCCTCTAGTGGCTGTCTTTCGGACAGCCACTAGAGGCACATCTGCGACACTGGAGGCATATTATGCCTCTATCGCGCAGAGTGTCCATAGCATGCGCATTCGGCTCCGCTGACGTCGGCAGGGGAGGAGGTCACCAGCACCGATGGAGCCCGGAGCTGGATTAAGGTGAGTGGCTGAAGGTATTTTAACCCCTTCAGCGCCACGAGAGGGGGACCCTGAGGGTGGGGGCATTCTCAGGGCACTATAGTGTCAGGAAAACCGCTTTGTTTTCCTGACACTATAGTACTCCTTTAACTTGGAAGAGGAGTTTGTCACTTACATCGTTTGTGTTTATGACAGGACAGTTTCATGGCTGTTTTTGTTACCTAAGGCTTACTCACACACACACAAACATACACACACCAGGAGAGTGAGGTTTCTACAACCAATAGCATCACGTGATCTTTCTAACATAGCATCTCCACTACACCATGGGCAGCTTACTCGTCTTATAAAATTTCCTTTTGGAGGCAGGGTAGGCACCTTTAGCAGTCAGACACTGGTAGGTAGCCCCTGCTGCACTTACATTTGAGAAACATTTTATATTGCAATGTGAAAGGAACTTTCACTATAGTGTCATGACAACATGTAAAATATAAGCCCTTGTAGCTAAACCCTTGTATTGCTCAGATTAGTAGCATATAAACCCTTGTATTGCTCAGATTAGTAGCATATTACAACATTGTGTGCACATTTTGATGTCTCTGCATTACAGGGACTAAGCACCAAAAAAGGCTTTTGCTTAAATAAGTAATTTTGGTGTATAGATCATGCCTCTGCATTCTTACTGCTTAATTCTGCTTAATTCTCTGCCATTTAGAAGTTTAAAAAAATGTTTATGTAGCCATAGTTACGCCACCCATGGATGTGACGCACAAAACCTCCCTAAAAACGTCCTAATAGAGATCTAATTTTTAAACTTGACTCATATATTAGATCTAAAAATGAACCAGTATTTCTTTAGCTGTGTAAGTCACAACCAGAAAAGGTGTGACTAGTGCCGCAAAAACAAAATGATTTAACGCTTCCATGGCATAGAACTGAGCAATGACACCGCAGGGGCATGATCCCTTACGAAATCCCTTTAAATTAAATAGTTTTTCCCCTCCCATTATCAACTGCTCTGTTTCCTGAATTAATTTAGCAGAAAATAGCCATGAGGTTTAGTCACTAAACATTTCATTCAAAACAATATTGCAAAATTTCTATTTAATCCACCAGACTGTCCGTTAAGACTAATGGTAGACTCATATGCTCTATTGATTTGAAGGTCAACAACCCTTATTTACTGATTTCTTTCAGTGATGTCATCAAGGAAGACATCATAATATATATATTTTTCCTGTTGTGAGTACATTTACATATAAGTAAGATAATCAAAGCACAAATACACGAACTTCACATTTTGCAAGCAGTTTTAGATGGTATAGTCATATAACAAACAGATGAAAATGTTTTTCACAGTCAACAGTAAATTGTAGTGAAATGATAACTGAATTGCAAAGCTCAGCCAATCTTTGACTTCATCTAATGAAAACATTTCCTAATTTGGCAAATGAGATCTAAAGTTTAAAATTAGGTTTTCAATTCACTAAACCTTTACATATGTAAGTATTTTACAGTGGAAAATTAGCAGGGCCTGTCTGCATGTTCTGTTCTCCTATTGGGATGCAAGTTATATGAGCCTTCTGTTGTTGTCCTGCAGGAGGGCGTGACGAAGAGGATAGCAGTTTCTTGAACCTTTTCCATTTGGTCAATGCCCAGGCAAATTTCCACAAGGAAATCCTTTACCTTACCCTCAACAGCCCTTCTTTTTGACATTCTTTACCAATGTAAAACTGCAGAACTCTTTTCAACTCCTGACAAAGCAGGAATTATGCGCTTCAGCTCTTCGGAACCACTAGATTGTTTGCTTCTAGGTCTGTGAGGCTTGCTGTGCTGAAGAGCTGAAACATTGTCTCCTTGTGACATAATTCAGCAAAATAACTAAAATGTAACAACAGTCCGGAGGCCTGCAGGATATAAGTATATTCTAGGTACAATTAATATTTTTTCTCAGATAACTGAATGCTGTACATTAGATAAGATATTCCTCTGTCAAAATATGAGGCTATAATAACTTTCTCAGCATCCTCAATGTGTCTTTGCTATTAATCGCAGCATGTGATTTTTTTTTTTCTCTCGACATACTGTAGCAAGTGGAAGAAAAATAACTCTGGTAATTTAGAAACATAAAACCCCATGAGAAAGTCATTAGATAGTTCCATGTCACAGTTCCATAAACCCTAAGTGTACCTACTAACATAGAGAGCTAGGCAGACTGTACAAATTGTCAGAGGTACCATATTAGAAAAGGCTAGTTATTGTATATTTCTATTTTTATTATGGCTTCTACTGCCTTAGTATATTTAATATACTTATTTAGGTTTAACTTCTGGGTTTGTAGTTGGTGGAAGTGCTATTTTAGTTTCAAAGTAATGGCAGTAAGAGCTTTCCATGTGCACGTTAAAATGGTACTCAGAACATGTATTTTGAGTTGGCTACTTTACAGTGTTTTATTGTTATTGTGTGGAACATTCTTATGCAACCTGTCAATAACCATTCATGAACAGTAAATTATTTTTCCAATCTAGTTCAGTATCTTATTTACCTTTTCTCACATTTATTTTTGGATTTGGTGGAGTCTTAATATAAGTTCCTGCACAACACACAATGGCAAAATTAAGGGCAGAGTCCAGAGTGGCAACAGTAAGAGTGAGGTACACAAGTGGCAATCCAAAATAGAAGAGTTAAGTGAGACCTAGAGTCAGAGTTCTAGCAACAATGTTCCAAGCAAGATACACAAGGGTTAATCCAGTAGCAGGGTTATGATAGGCCAATGGTCAGTGTCCAAGTAGACAGAATATATCATAGTAAACCAAGAACCTATATATCCAGACCACAAAATAACTGAGCAATCTGGGCTTTTAATTGATGGTGTCTGTGAAGCTACACATAGCACTGGCCTTCCTGCAACACTTCTTATTTAAATAAGCATTTTGAATGACTACCATGGCCAGCTGCCACCAGGCAGCCAATATGAACACAATAACTTGTGCGAGGACCAGAAACCCATTTGACGCTGCCCTAGAGCCAGGAAAACACATCTCCCTTTCTGGGGCATGTCTTGGAAAACCAGATAAATTCTGAAGTGTATAGGGATATATTGTCTAACTGAGTAAAGGTGATAGGACGGCGCTTTACTTTACAGATGGACATTAACTCAAAACACATGAGTTTTTTAAAGGCAAATAATTAGAATATTCTGCAATGGCCAAGTCAATTACCTGATTTCAACCCGATCCAGCATGCATTTTACTTTCTGAAGACAAAATTAAAGCAGAAAGACCCGTTCGAGTGGACAATTCTATAATGACCCTAAAATGATTTTAGGAGTAGAAGAGAATCCTACAGAAGGACAGATAATCATACCAATCCCCATGGGAATATCTCCCTCATGAGAGATGGAGTATATCAAAGAAATAGAAAAGAGCCTAACAGAGACCACAATCCATCTTCGATGAGACAACCTTTGGTAAATCCACATACTAAGGAAGATCATATCAAGTTTCACAACCATTATGAAACCTTAGATAATAATAGAGAGGAGGAGGTTTTTTGACAGAGCAAACCCAAAGAGAGACACAAAAGAAATGAAACAAGACATAGACCCTCCTACCTACTCCAAAAGAAGATGACTATCAGAAGAAGAGGAACTAGACGAGGAAGACTCACACAACACAAAAGAAGGGAAAGATATTAGAAACGACAATGAAGGAAATCTTTAACCTTATTAATAAGGATTTGAACCATAAAAGGATTTTACAAAAAGGATTAAAATTTGCCCCCAATAAAGATTTAGATCATTTTGATATGTACATATTTCTTAATAGATTTAAGAGAAACCTCTGCCTAAAAACATTTTTCATAAACACCCCTGTAGAGAGAAACGAAATGGAAAATAGGTCTAAATTTTCCAAAACACATGATCTTGGATAAGATGATATCCTTCGAGACTATGGTCATGATATAGCTTAATAAGAAGCTCAAAAGACAAGTTTCATAATAATTTAACTAGAATGGAAAAACAAGTCCTTAAAGGACCACTATAGTGCCAGGAAAACATACTCGTTTTCCTGGCACTATAGTGCCCTGAGGGTGCCCCCACCCTCAGGGACCCCCTCCCGCCCGGCTCTGGAAAGGGGAAAGGGGTTTAAACTTACCTTTTTCCAGCGCTGGGCGGAGAGCTCTCCTCCTCTCTCCCCTCTTGAATCGCCGGCGGCAAAGACGCGCGCACATTCAGCGGTCATCAGGAAAGCATTTACAATGCTTTCTATAGACGCTGGCGTGCTCTCACTGTGAAAATCACAGTGAAAGCACGCAAGACCTCTAGTGGCTGTCAATGAGACAGCCACTAGAGGATTAGGGGGAAGGCTTAACCCATTCGTAAACATAGCAGTTTCTCTGAAACTGCTATGTTTATTAAAAAATGGGTTAACCCTAGCTGGACCTGGCACCCAGACCACTTCATTAAGCTGAAGTGGTCTGGGTGCCTAGAATGGTCCTTTAAAAACGATCCAGATCTTATTAAGATATAAGATAGAATATTGAATGATATAAATACATATAAAAAATTAAAGTGGAAATCCAAGTGAAAGAATCAATAAGATTTTCTTGGATTTAAAAAAAAAAAAAAGGTTTTAATGAAGGAATTCTAAATAAGAAAGAATTTAATTTTCTTAACATCAAGTGTCCTAAGATTTCCATTTTTTTTTTTTTTTGCCAAAAGTTCATTAACATGTTAACAATACCCCAGGCAGACCTATCATAGCCGGAGTGGATGCTGTTTCTAGTAGGCTCTCCCAGTACATAGACATCTTGTTACAACCCATACTTCAAAAAACAAAATCTTATATTAAAGATACAATGTCTGTTTTAAAACTTTTAGAAGGTTTTAAATGGGATAGTGAATATATTTTGGTCACATGTGACGTCATAGCACTGTACAGTAATATTCTCAATGGATACGAATGTAAGGCAGTGGAACACTATTTAAATTTATCTACAGGTTTTTTAACCCTCCAAGTAAATAATATTTTAGAGGCTATTCAATTGATTTAAAAAAAAAAATTATTTTGGTTCAGAGAATAATTTTATCTACATACCAGTGAAACGACCATGGGAACAAAGTTTGTCCCAAGCTATGCTAATTTCTTTATGTCATTTTGGGAAGAGACCTATATTTTTGGTAGCCATAGCTGGGGGGAAAGCTTAGTGACCTATGGCCGGTACATTGATGACATTCTGTTCATTTGGAGAGGCAATTCAGAAGGAATGAAAGAATTTTTAAATGATAATACATGGGGAATTAAACTGACCAGTACCTGGAGCAAAAAGGAAATAATCTTTTTAGAGCTTAATATTTATATTCAAGAAGGGACAATAAAGACAAACCCGTAGATTGCAATAGTTTTATCGAGCGTGAAAGTTGCCATTATGCCCCTTGGCTAGAAAACGGCCCAAAAGGTAAATTTTTAAGAATTCACCGCAACTGTATAGATTTAGAAACTTATGAGGATCAATTCTTAAGAATCGAAAAAGATTTTGTAGATAAAGGTTATGAGGAACAGAAATTAGAAGTACCAAGAATGGAAATAAAAAACAAAGAAAGAAAAGAGATGCTACAATATAAAGTTAAACAAGATCAACCCATAAAAGACTTTCCTTTCATTTGTAACTACACCGTTAAAAATTACCAAGTACGTAATATCATAACCAAATACTGGCCTTTACTATTGCAAGATCCTCTTTTGAATTCTTTTTTTACCAACAAAACCTCGATTCATACATAGAGGCGTGAAAAATTTGAGAAGTTCCTTGGTTAACAGTTTTATAAAAGAAAGAAAGAATCCCTTAACTATTTTTAACAATGAAAAACGTTTCTATGGCTGTGGTCAATGCACAGCAAGTAGAAAATCAGGAAATGCCAAAAGAACTATCACTAAGGTTAATAATAAGGAGGGAAAATCCATACCCATAAAGGATTTTATTACGTGTTATTCTAAAAATGTAATTTACCTCTTAAAATGTCCCTGCAAGTTAAAGTATGTAGGCCGCACTATTAGACCTTTATATATTAAAATAGGAGAACATATCCGAAATATACAAAAAGGTTTTGAAAATCATAGTGTCTCCAGTCATTTTAAATATTTTCACGATCAAAATCCAAAAGGTTTATTTTTTATGGGTTTGAAAAAGGTGGAAAAAATTGGAGAGGTGGGGATTTTATCCAAAGGATGGGAAAAACCGAGATAGAGTGGATTTTTAATATGAACACTCTCATTCCGCATGGATTAAATTCAGATTTTAAATTGTAATTTTTTTATGAATTATATATTTTTTTCTCAATTCCTTTTTCCCCTATTCTTTTAATAGAAGTTTAAAGATGCCAACATCTAAGAAGTCACCTTCCCTAATTTCATATATATATATATATATATATTTATATATATATATATATATATATATATATTTATATACATTTTTCCTATGAGTTCTTATTCTAATATTTTTCTCTTATTCATATGATTATTATAAAGTTTGGAATATTACTGTTACAAGTTACCAACAGTCCTTTTGTTACAATTTTTCACCTGACACATTTTTCTGTTCAGCATTATATGTCTTAGGCAATGCACTGGTTTTTAATATTATTGGAATTACTCTGCATTTTTACAATGTTTTAATATAATAGCAACAATGTTACGTATTAATTTAAT